TTCCCCTCCCCCATTTCTGAAGAAGGGTCTAGGCCCGAAACGTCAGCTTTCCTGCTCCTCTGATGCTGCTTGGCCTGCTGTGTTCATCCAGCTCTACACCTTGTTATCTCAGATTCTCCAGCATCTGCAGTTCCTACTATCTCTGAAGCAATTCTTTTAAACTCTGGTTTTAGAACAGTTCTTCCCCATTTAAGTTCCTAATTTTAAAAAGCACAAAAATATAAAGACTTGGTCTTTACATTGCATGGAGCATTGATAAGGCCACATCTGGAGCACTTTATTTACAAAAGGATACATATGTTAGAAGCAGCTCAGAGAAAGTTCACTCAGTTGATTCCGGGGATGACTGGTGGGTTTGAGGAGAATGAGAGTTGATCTTATTGACATCCTGAAAGGAGTTATCAGGCCGAGAGATTTTTAAAAATTATTTCATGAGCGTTACTAGCTAGGCCAACATTTGTTGTCTGCCCTTAATTGCCCAGAGGGCAGGTGAGAGTCAGCTGCATTTCTGTGGGTCTAGAGTCACATATAGGTCAGACCAGGTAAGGATGGCATTTTCCTTCCCTAAAGGGCATTAGTGAACCAGATGGGTTTTTCCCAATAATCATCAATGTTTTCATTGTCATCATCAGACTCTTAATTCCAGATACTTTTTATTGAATTCAAATTCCACCATCTGCTGCGGCAGGATTTGAACCCCAGACCCCAGAACATTACCTGGGCCTCTGGATTAATAGTCTAGCAATAACATAGTTAGGCCATCGCCTTCCCCTATGTGCCCTTGTGGGAGAGACTGGAATACGGGACAGAGTTTAAAAATAAAGGGTCTCCTACTTAAGACTGAGATGAGAAGGATAATCTTTCCTCAGAGGGTTCTGAATCTTTGGAATGCTCCTCCCCATAGAATGATTGAATATTTTTGAGGCAGTGTTAGATTCTTGACTAACAAGCGAGTCAGAGGTTATCTTGGGTAGACGAGACAGAGTTGTTTAGAGTCATAGAGATGTACAGCATGGAAACAGACCCTTCGGTCCAACACGTCCATGCTGACCAGATATCCTAAATTAATCTAGTCCCGTTTGCCAGCATTTGGTCCATATCCCTCTAAATCCTTCCTATTCATATATCCATCCTGATGCCTTTTAAATGTTGTAGTTGTACCAGCCTCCATCACTTCCTCTGGCAGCTTGTTCCATACATGCACTACCCTCTGCGTTGCCCCTTAGATCCATTTTTAATCTTTTTCCTCTCACCTTAAACCTGTGCCCTCTAGTTTTGGACTCTCCTACCCTGGGAAAAAGACATTGGCTATTTACCCTATCCATGCCCCTCATGATTTTATAAACCTCTATAAGGTCACCCCTCAGCCTCCAACACTCCAGGGAAAATAGTCCCAGCCCTGGTTTGTCTTACCAAAATGCAACACCTCACATTTGTCTAAATTAAATTCCATCTGCCATTCCCTGGCCCATCGGCCCATCGGCCCATCTGATCAAGGTCCTATTGTACTCTGAGGTAACCTTCTCCACTGTCCACTACACCACTAATCTTTGGCTGGATGGCAGGTTTGTAATGTAAAGCCACACTTGCAGCATGCACCAGCTGGGGTTATCATGAAGGGTTCTCCTTCTCAACCTCTGTCCTTGCCTGAGGTGTGGTGACCCTCAGGTTAAACCACCATCACTTGTCTCTCTGTAATGAGAGAGCAGCTCTATGGTCTGGTAAGGCTGTGATAACTTTACCTATACCTTGAGTGGGTGTGATTGTGGAGCTGAGGCCATGATCAGATCAGTTGTGATCTGACTGAATTGTGGGACAAGTTTTGAGAGGCTGAATGGCCTTTTCCTGATTCTATTTTGTACGTTGGTAAGGTTGGATCCTCTGTTAGAGATGGGAATTAACTTTGCATTTTGGATCTTTCTTGTTTAGATGTGAAATCACTACCAGAGAATACTGCCAGTTTAAGGATGGATATTTCCATGAGGAAGCAACCTTGTGTTCACAGGTAACATTGAAATCGAATGAACACCCTGTTCTCACTGCTCCAATCATAAGTAATGTATTGTACACCCAGAATGTTGAGTTAATAAAGGATACAAGAATCAACTATAAATCCTAGATCTACAGGGTTTACCAGAGGAATGGGCCATACCATTGGTTATCTGACCTGTGCACAATCTGTCCCACAATTTATGGGCTATGATATGTATGGGCCAGCTTGTCCAGCAAGCCTGTTTACAATGAGCTTTACATGGGAAATGACTCTTTGTGGAAGTTTGGTTTTTGACCTATTGAGTGACTGACCACCTCTCTGTTATAGGTACACTGTCTGGATGAAGTATGTGGGTTATTGCCATTCCTGAATCCAGATGTTCCAGATCAGATCTACAGGCTTTGGCTCTCCCTGTTTCTTCATGCTGGGTAACAAAAACTCACCCATTTACAATACTGTGGCTATAAGAGCATGGATCCTGTCATTGACATGAGGCACAGCTGAAAGGAATGAAGGAGAGAGTGAGCTCAAAGTTGTGGTACATATTGGTATCAATGACGTAGAGGAGGACAGGCATTGAGCTCGTGCACCCAGGAGTTGGGAGGAATCTCCAAATGAGTGAACTCTGGATGAATCCCAATGCCATGTGTTAGCCAGAGCAGAGGTAGGAATAAAGGCAGGATCAATCTGTCATGTGAGGTTTGGTATTTGCACAGGGTGTAGGGCTTCTACATTGTTGCACACTGGGACTTATTATATGGCAGGAGCCAACTCTTGCTGCCTGTGAGAATGGTGAGATAAGAGACCAGGAGATTGGCTGACCCCTTAGTGGAAATAAACTTGCAGAATAACAGGTTAGAAGTTGAGAAAGGGACTGATTGGATTCTTCTGCAAAAGTTGGCATGACCTCAATGGGCCAAATGGCTTTCTATGCTGTAATGACCAAGGCTGACCTTTTTGTTTCGCAAAGTGCAGGTTGCATTGTGTTTGGTGGAGGGATTCTTGCTGTGAGGTTTGTCACTGGATCTTATTAAACTTGTTACATTTATTCGCCATTCCCAGCCCATGGAGAACCATGACTGATTTCTGCCCGATTTTAGTCCTAATAAACATCCTCTTTATTTTTAAACTCCGCCTCATTGGCCTAAAAATACCAACCAAAACGAATTGCCTTATATTTCTCTGCATCTGCCATTTGTTTGCTCATTCCACCAACTTGTCAATGTGCTTTTGGTGTTCGACACCTACATCTTCCCTCCCCCCCCCAAACACACATACATACATACACACAGATGCATACACACACACACACACACACACACAGACACAGACAGACACAGTTTGCAATACTTCCATGTTTCACATCAACTGCAAATGTTGAGACTGTACCTTGTACACGTTCTGGGTCAATAATATATCAGCAAAACCTTGGGATCCATCACTGGCCCATGGTGAACTCCAATATAAACCTTCCTCCAATCTGAAAAATATCCATTAACCATTACTCTCTGTTTCCCAACACTGAGCCAATTCTGTGTTCGTTGTTGCTTCTGTCAATTTTATTCTAGGAGCTATACCTTTGCTCACAAAATCTTTTTGGGGTAGCACTGTACTAAATGCCTTTTGGAAGTCCATGTACATTATATCAACAACATTGCCTTCAGCGACCCTTTCTGTCACTTCTTCACAAACTCTAGTAAGTTAGTTAAATCTAATTTTGTCTTATAAAATCCATGCTGACTCTCCTTAATCAACCCCTGTTTGCCCATGTAACTATTAATTTTGTGCTGAATTATTGATCCTGGAAATAAGCCCACTGTCAAAGTTAAACTAAACAAAACCGAAAGAACTGCAGATGCTGTAAGTCAGAAACAAAAACAGAAATTGTTGGAAAAGCTCAGCAGGTCTGGCAGCATTTGTGAAGAAAAATCTTTTTGGGGTAGCATTATACCAAATACCAAAGCACTATACCAACCTCCTCAGAATGTTCTGAGGAAGGGTCACCAGACCCAAAACATTAACTCTGATTTCTCTTCACAGATGCTGCCAGACATTCTGAATTTTTCCAGCAACTTCTGTTTTTTGTGCCAAAGTTAAACTGACTGGTGTATAATTGCCTGATTTATTTTTGCAGCTCCTTTTCACCAAGAGGCTATGATCATTGCAATTCTCTAGTTTTCTAACACTACCCCCTGAGTCTACGGAAAATGGAAAGATTGTGGTCAGTACGTCTACAATTTCCACACTCACTTCTCTCAGTTTCCTTGGATGCTTCTCGTCTGGTCCCAGCATCTTATCAACTTTTAACACAGACAGCTTATCCAATATTTGATTTGATTTGGTTTGATTTATTGTCACGTGTACCTGAGTACAGTGAACAGCTTTTGTTTGTGAGCAGTTCAGGCAGATCAAAGTAAGCAAGGACGTACAGATCATAGGGTGAAAAAAACTTGGACAGAGCGAGGCATGCAAGGTTACATCGCACAGGACGTGCGAAGCAATTTCAACATTAACCAGATTAACATTATTGGAAGTTAGAGAGTCCATTCATCAGCCTAATAACAGCAGGGAAGAAGCTGTTCTTGAACCTGTTGGTGAGTGTGTTCAAGCTTCTGTACCTTCTGCCTGACGGAAGAGGTTGTAGGAGAGCATTATTGGTGTGGGACGGGTCTTTGATGATGTTGGCCGCCTTTCTGCAGCAATGAGAAGTGTAAATACAGCCCATGGATGGAAGGTTGTCTTCCGTGATGGTCCGGGCTGTGCACACCATTTTCTGTAGTTTCTTACGGTCCTGGTCAGAGTAGTTGTCGTACCAGGTCATTATGCACTCGGACAATATGCTTTCAATGATGCATCTATAGAAGTTGGTGAGGGACCTTATGGACAATGCTGAATTTCCTGAGCTACCCAAGGAGAAAGAGGAGTTGTTGTGCCTTCCTAACCATCCCATCTACATGGGAAGTCCAGGACAGGACATTGGTTATCGTCACTCCTAGGAACATGATACTCTCCACCCTCTCAACCTCCGCTCCTTTCTCCTCCTCCTCCTTTCTTTCTGAAGTCAATGATCAGTGCTTTAAATTTACCGACATTGAGAGAAAGGTTACTATCATTGCACCATGTCACCAAGCGCTCTATCTCCTTTCTGTATATCTCCTTGTTAACAATTATAAACACTTGTTGTAACTAACTTATCCTTCCTGCTGCATCAGGAAAGCAGCCAACATAATCAAAGACCCCTCCTACCCCAGTTATACTCTCTTCCAGCCTGTACCATTAGGCAGAAGTTTGAAAACACTTACCAACAGATTCAAGGATAGCAACAACTGCAGGTGCCAGTCAGAGATAACACAGTGTGGAGCAGGAGGAACACAACAGGCCAGGCAGCATCAGAGGGACAGGAAAGTTGACGTTTTGGGTTGGAAACCTTCTGAAGATTCAAGAACAGATTCTTCCCTGCTGCTATTAGACTTATGAATGGACCTCTCATATTTATATTCGAGTTGATCTTTCTCTGCACCCTCTCTGTAGTTGTAACACTATATTCTGCATTCTGTTCTATTATCCTGGTATACTTATGTAAGGTATGATTTGTCTGGATCGAATGTAAAACAATACTTTTCACTGTCTCCTTCCATTGGCTGGGAATCACTCACTGTTGTATCTGTTGTAAAGAATTTAAATTGATAAAATGACCCCAATATAAAGACAACATTAATACTGACCCTCTGATTGAATTAGCAGTGAATACTGAGATGTTTCTCAGTGATGTATATCTGATGAAGTGTGACAGTATTTCTGCACAAACTTCACTTTTGACCTGATGACAGAGCAAACTCTAACTGGATCCCTTTGTGACTGACACTGGTTTTGTGCCCCCTCCCAACCCATATGTGCCCTGTGTCATTAACCAGGCGGTTACCTCAGTCACTCCTGCTGCCGATGCTGACGTCACTTTCACTTCCACCTACGATACCATCCCCACCCACACACCCACTTCCGAGACATTCTCCGCTCCCACTCCTGGCTCCAGCTCTACACCCAACCCCAAGCCCAAGCCCTGCCAGGTATTCACCATCCCCCAGACCTCCCCTTCGCTGAGGATGAATGGTCAGGTCTCAGCAAAGGACTCATATGCATTCCCCTGCACCCACACATCAACGAATTCTGTACACATCTGGATGTTGAACTCTTTCTCCGCCACCTCCAGATCCACACCTGTTTCTTTGACAGGGAGTCTAGGCCACAATCTGCAGACCCCTTCTCCCACCTCCAACTAACCCCATCCTTCTGGACACCACCCCACAGCCTTCTATGCTCCCTCAATCTCCTTCTCCAACTGCCGTTGCAACAATCACCTCAATCTCTCCACCGCTCTCACTCGCTTCAACCTCTTTGTATCGGAGCGCCTAGCCCTCCACCCCAACCCAACTTCGGGGGCGGGTGGGCTGCATTGTTGAGGTATGGCATGCTGACTTTTACATTGCAGAGGCCAGGCACCAACTCTCTGACATCTCCTCCTACCACTCCCGATTATGATGGCACCATTGATCACCAAACCATCTCCCAGACCATGAATAACCTCATCACCTCAGGAGACCTCCCACCCACAGCCTCCAACCTCATCATTCCCCCAAACCCGCACTGCCCATTTCTATCTCCTTCCCAAAATCCACAAACCTTACTGCCCTGCTCGACCCATTGTCTCTGCCTACTCCTGCCCCACTGAACTCATCTTTGCTTACCTCGACTCTGTCCCTTTCCCCCCATGTCCAGGAACCCGCCCCACCTACGTTCAGGATACTACCCACATCCTCCACCTCCTCCAAGACTTCCAGTTCCCTGGCCCACAACACCTCATCTTCACCATGGACATCCAGTCCCTGTATACTTGTATCCCATGCTTATGGCCGAAAAGCCCTCCACCTCCTCTCCCACAGGCCCAACCCGTCCCCCTCCACCGACACCCTCATCCACCTAACAGAACTTGTCCTTACCCTAAACAACTTCTCCATTAACTCCTTCCACTTCCTACAAACTAGGGACATGGCTATGGGCACCAGTATGGGTGGACCTGCCTCTTTGTAGGATACACGGAACAGTCCCTCTTCCGCTGTTACACTGGCAGCATCCCCATCTCTTCCTTCACTACATCGATGATTGTATCAGCGCTGCCTCGTGCTCCCATGAGAAGCTTGAACAATTCATCAACTTTACTAACACCTTTCACCCCAACCACAAATTCACCTGGACCATCTCCAATGTCTCCCTCCCCTTCCTGGACCTCTCAGGTCTCCATCTCTGGTGACCGTCTCAAAACTGACATCTATTTCAAGCCTACCGACTCCAACAGCCACCTGGACTACACCTCCTCTTACCCACCTTCCTGCAAGAATGTGATCCCTTACTCCCAATTCCTCCACCTTCGCTGCATCTGCTTTCAATGGGGCATTCCACTCCCGATGTCCTCTTATTTCATGGACCACAACTTCCCCCCTCCGGTGATCGAAAATACCCTCAACCACATCTCTTGCGTTTCTCGCACCTCTGCCCTCAAACCCACTCTCCCCAACAAAAATAAAGACGGAATCCCCTTGTCCTCTCATATCACCCCAACAACCTCTGTATTCAATGTATCATTCTCTGCCACTTCTGCCTCCTACAATCCAACCCCACAACCAAGGAGATATTTCCTTCCCCACCTCTATCTGCCTTCCGTAGGGACCGCTCTCTCCATGACTCCCTTGTCAGCTCCACACTCCCCACTAGTCCCACCACACCCGGCACCTTTCCCCGCAACTGCAGGAAATGCTACACCTGCCCCTACACCTCCCCCCTCACCTCCATTCAAGGCATAAAACAAACCTTCCAAATGTGACAGGGGTTCACCTGTATATCCTCCAACTTGGTCTACCGTATCCGCTGCTCCTGATGTGGCCTCCTCTACAACGGTGAGACCAAGAGGAGGCTCAGAGACCACTTTGTTTAGCATCTGCGCTCTGTACGTGATAATCAAGAACACCTTCCAGTCACAAACCATTTCCACTCCCCCTCCCACTCCCTGGGTGACATGTCCATCCTGGGCCTCCTCCAGTGTCACAATGACGCCACCCGCAAACTGGAGGAGCAGCACCTCATATTCTGCCTCAAAAGCCTACAGCCCAATGGCCTAAACATGCAATTCACCAGTTTTAAAATCACCCCACACCTGGCCTCATCCCATGTCCAACCCTCCCTCTCATTCCCGCCTCCTTGACCTGACACAACCTGTCCACTTTCGTCCCCACTCACCTGCCCTACCCTTCCCACCCACCAGTCCCCACTACCCCCTACCTGCATCCAACCTATCACCACCCTACCTATGTTTCCTCAGCCCCACCCATCCTCCCTCCCACCTCCTTGACCTGACACAATGTGTCCATCTTGTTTCCCACCTATCCACCCCACTCTTCCCATTGACCAATCCCCACCACTCCCTACCTGCATCCACCTATCACCATCCCACCTACCTTCCCCCAGCCCCAACCCTCCTCTACATTTATTTCCCAGCTCCCTTCTCCCTTCCCATTTCTGAAGAAGGGTCCAGACCCAAAACTTTCCTACTTCTCTGATGCTGCCTGGCCTACTGTGTTCATCCAGCTCCACACTGTGTTAACTCTGACTCCAGCATCTCCAGTTCTTGGTATCATCAGGATACTTACACCTGTTAATTTCTAAAGACATCAAGTCATACAGCACAGAAACAGACCCTTCAGTCCAACTAGTCCATGCTGACCAAGTTTCCCAAACTAAACTAGTCCCACTTGCCTGCATTTGACCCTTATCCCTCTATAACTTTCCTATCCATGTACCAATCCAAATGTCTTTTAAGTATTGTAACTGTACCTGCATCTACTATTTTTTGGCAGTTCATTTCACATATTAACCATAGTCTGTGTGAAACTATTGCCCCTCAGGCCCCTTTTAAATCTTTCTCCTCTCACCTTAAAAATATGCCCCTTAGTTTTGAACTCTATTTCCCTGGGGAAAAGACTGTGGAAATTCAATTAATCTATGCCCCTCATGATTTTGTAAACCTCTGTAATGTCACCCCTCCTACGCTCCAGTGAAAAAGTCCCAGTCTATCCAGTGTCTCCTTATAACTCAAGCCCTCTAATCCCGATAACATCCTGGTAAATCTTTTCTGCACCATCTCCAATTTACTAATATCCTTCCCCTGACAGGGAGAACAGAACTGGACACAGTGCTCCAAAACAGGTCTCACCAATGTCCTGTACAACCTCATCATAACAACCCAACTCCTTTGGAGCTCCTCTGATGCTGCCTGGCCTGCTGTGTTCCTCCAGCTGCACACTGTGTTATCTCCAACTCCTATACTCAATAGTCTGAGCAATGAGTGATTATCAGAAGCTGTATCAGGAAGGCCTCAAACAGAATGAACTATCCCACCCCATCATTAAGTTTAATAGTATAAACATGCTTAACTGTTGTAGGGTATCCAAAATAATTCGATATGTTAGGCCTTTATTCATTAGAGTTTAGAACAATGAGAGGTGATCTTCATGAAATATACAAGGTTCTGAGAGGGCTTGACAGGGTAGATGTGTTTAGCCAGAGGGCGGTGAATCTTTGGATCTCACTGCCACAAGAAGCTGTGGAAGACAAGTCTTTGAGTGTATTTAAGGCAGAGATAGATTGGTTCTTGATTAGTAAGGTGATCAAAAGGTAGAGGGTAAGGCAGGAGAATGGGTTTGAGAAACATGACAGCAACGATCAAATGGCAGAACAGACCCAATGGACTGAATGGAGTAATTCTGTCCTATATCTATGGTGTTTTGCGCTTATGTTTCCACTAGAGTAGAAATCTTGAACAAGGGGACATAGCGAGAGAATAAGGGGACACCCATTTAAACATAGGAACAGGAGTAGACCATTCAGCCCCTTGAGCCTGTCCCACCATTCAGTGAAATCAGACTGATCTGTGGCCTAACTACATAAGCCTGCCTTTGGCCCATATATCTTAATACCTTTGCTTAACAAAAATATATCTATCTCTCATTTAAAATTAACAACTGATCCAGCATCCACCGCCATTTGTGGAAGAGAGTTCTAAACATCGACCACACTTTGTGTATAGAAGTGCTCCTGACAATCTCTCCTGAACAATGTGGCCCTAATTTTCAGACTATATTTTAAATTTCTCCCAGTGCGTGGTAAATGTCTGGAATTCTCTACCCCATAGAGTGGTGGAGGCTAGATCAATGCAAGTATTTAAAGATGAGAGAGATAGATTGTTGAAGTGTCAGGCAGTTGATCGCTATGGCCTGAAACAAGAGTTAAGGCTTGGGGTAGATCGGCTATGATCTTGTTAAATGGTGGGGCAGGCTCGAGGGGCTGAATGGCCTACTCCTGCTCCTATCTCTTATGTTCTTCTGTTCTAACCCCTTTGAGAAATTTCAATAAACCATGCAAGGCCACAAGATCAATTTCTTTAACATAAATGTAATTTTAACTGCTTTTAAAAATTAGTTTCAAAACTTCATGTTGACTTGAACTAAATTAAACATTGCACAGACTTGCAAAAATAGTTAGAAGGCCTTTAAAGGTTTAAAATTACTTCAAAGAAAGCTTAAGGCCTTATAAAGAAAACATTCACTGTAACATTGCAAGACTACAGCAGGTTAAGGGGAAGTACCTCCTGTGTTGATATCGGATAGCCTGGTGCTGCTTGTTGCTTGAGCCACTCTGGGTGGATCTTTACTGATGGATTCAAGCTGCAGCTATATCCCAAAGATCCTAGAGCTACACACAAAAAGGGAAAATATGGACCACACAGAAACTCAGCAGGTCAGGCAGCATCTGTGGAGAGAAAACAGGATTGATGTTTCTATTCCAGTGACCCTTGTTGACTCAGTTTGCTTGTTTCAGGGCTCCAACATCAGCAGTTCTTTGTTTTGTTGAAGAATTGGGACATTCCAGGTCACCTCGTCCAGGACATGGTGTACATGGACTCCTGATACAAGTGAAAAGTGACATTCTACCATTCTAACATATTTCATATTCTTTTCTCTTGTTCTCTCTCTCAAACTGCCACACTTTTTTTTCACTTCACTTTGGCTCTATTTCTGTTTTCCCTCTGGCTGTATCCTCCTTTGTGCTGCCCTATCTCGCTCTCCTCTCCCTACCCCTCTGCAGGATTATCCACTGCCTGATTTCCGTGCTATTCCAAATGACCATTCTTCGGGACCTGGAGAAGTTGGCAGGTTGGCTGCGCATTTCAATCATCTACATCCTGAGTGGAATGATGGGAAACTTGGCAAGTGCGATCTTCCTGCCGTACAGAGCTGAGGTACAACGACAGGATGATGAGGGGGAGGGTTGGAAAGTTGGCCTTAGTAGAGGTTATGATAAGCTAGGTCAAATACAAAAAAAACTGGAGCACCACTGTCTAATGCAGCCCATGTTTCACTGTCAATTAGATTTTGAGGCTATTTCTGGATATGACACATTGGCTTCAATCAGTTCCAAAAGGATTGGGAAGAAGTGATTGTCTGACTTGATATAGGGCAATATTGTAGTGCAGACCCTCCGACAGTGAAGCTCTTCCTCAGCATTGACCTTCCGACAGTGCGGCACTCCCTCAGCACTGACCCTCCGACAGTGCGGCACTCCCTCAGCACTGACCCTCCGACAGTGCGGCGCTCCCTTAGCACTGACCCTCCAACAGTGCGGCGCTCCCTTAGCACTGACCCTCAGCGCTGACCCTCTGACAGTGTGGCGCTCCCTCAGCGCTGACCCTCTGACAGTGCGGCACTCCCTCAGTGTCTCTCGCTGTACTGTGTGTCCCTCAATGTGTTCTGAAAAGTGCCCAGTTTACCTCAGATTATTTGGAAAGGGCAAGTATCTGAAAAGTTTGAATATTGGGATAGGAACCCCTGGCCCTTTTAAGGTTCCTTGTGTCTTGGCCCGTTATCCTGGTGGATAAACGTATATATGTTGATGTTTTTTCTACATTATTGCAGTAACAGCTTGCATTTATATAGTTCCTTTAACATGATATAAATGTCCCTGGGTGCTTCAAAAGACTGCAATCAGATAAAATTTCACAGAACCATATAAGATATTGAGATTTTAAAAAATATTCATATATGGGTTGTGGATGTTGCTGGCCAGGCCAGCATTTATTGCCCTTTCCTAATTGCCCAGAGGGCAACTGAGATTCAACCACATTGCTGTGGGTCTGGAGTCACATGTAGGCCAGACCAGGTAAGTATGGCAGTTTCCTTCCCTAAAGGACATTAGTGAACCAAAAATGGCTTTTCTGACAAACAGTTCCAAAAAGTTCAGAAAGAAGTGATGGTCTGACAGATTTGATTAAGGGCAATATTATAGTGCAGACCCTCAAAAATTAGAAAGTCAACAATGGTTTCATTAGACTCTTAATTCCAGATTTTTATTTACTTCAAATTCTAGGATTAGTGCCCAGGTTCCCAGGACATTCACCTGGGTCTCTTGATTAATCGTCTAGTGATTTTATCATTAGGCTATCACCTCCACCCTAACCAAAACTGGTAACAATGAGATCGTAAGAACTGCCAATGCTGGAATCCGAGATAATACAGTGTGGAGCTGGAGGAACACAGCAGGCCAAGCAGCTTCAGAGGAGCAGGAAAGTTGACATTTCAGGTCGGGAATCTTCTTCAGAAATGGGGGAGGGGGAAGGGAGCTCCAAAATAAATAGAGGGTGGGGGGTGGGGCTGGGGAAGGTAGGTGGGATGATGATAGGTGAGTGCAGGTAGGGAGTGCTGGGGATTGGTCAGTGAGGTGGGTAGGGCAGATAGGTGGGAGAGAAGATGGACAGGTCAAGGAGGTGGGGATGAGAGGGAGGTTTGGACATGGGGGTGGGAAGGTTTTAAACTGGTGAATTCTATGTTTAGGCCATTGGGCTGCAGGATCCTGAGGTGGAATATGAGGTGTAGCTCCTCCAGTGTGCAGGTGGTGTTACTGTGACATGGGAGGAGGCCCAGGATGGACATGTCACTCAGGGAGTGGGAGGGGGAGTTAAAATGGTTCATGACTGGAAGGTGTTGTCGTTTGTCGTACACAGAGCACAGATGCTCTACAAAACAGTCTCCAAATCTTCGCTTGGTTCCTCCGATGTAGAGGAGGCCACATTGGGAGCAGTGGATACAGTAGACCAAGTTGGAGGATATACAGGACAAGGGAGTCGCAGAGACAGTAGCCCCCTCTTCCCAATTCCTCCGCCTCTGCTGCATCTGCTCCCAAGATGGGGCATTCAATGCCCGAACATCCCAGAAGTCCTCGTTTTTCAAGGACCGTAACTCTGCCCCCCCACCAGGTGATTGAAAATGACCTCAACTGCATCTCTTGCATTTCCCGCACTTCTACCCTCACACCCCTCCCTCCAACAAAAATAATGACAGAATTCCCCTTGTCCTCCTGTATCATCCCACCAACCTCCGTATCCAACATAGCATTCTCCACCACTTCCACCTCCTACAATCTGACCCCACAACCAAGGATATATTTCCCTCCCCACCCCTATCTGCCTTCTGTAGGGACAACTTCCTCGTCCGGTCTACACTCCCCAGTAACCCCACCACCCCTGGCAACTTTCGCTGCAACTGCAGGAAGTGCTACACCTGCCCCTACACCTGCCCCCTCACCTCCATTCAAGGCACAAAACAAACCTTCCAAATCTGACAGGGGTTAACCTGTGACTCCAACTTGGTCTACTGTATCCGCTGCTCCTGATGTGGCCTCCTCTACATTGGTGTGACCAAGCGGAGGCTCGAAGACTGCTTCATAGAGCATCTGTGCTCTGTACGCGACAAACGACAACACCTTCCAGTCACAAACCATTTTAACTCCCCCTCCCACTCCCTGGACAACATGTCCATCCTGGGCTTCCTCCAGTGTCACAATAACACCACCTGCACACTGGAGGAGCTACACCTCATATTCCGCTTCAGGATCCTGCAGCCCGATGGCCTAAACATAGAGTTTATTAGTTTTAAAACCCCCCCCACACCCCGGCCTCATCCCATGACCAACCCTCCCTCTCATCCCCGCATCCTTGATCTGTCCATCTTCTCTCCTGCCTACCTGCTCCTCCCACCTCACTGACCAATCCCCAGCACTGCCTACCTGCTCTCACCTTTCGCCATCCCACCTACCTTCCTCAGCCCCACCCCTCCTCTCTATTTATTTCTGAGCTCTCTTCCTCCTCTCCATTTCTGAAGAAGGGTCCCGACCTGAAACGTCAGCTTTCCTGCTCCTCGGACGCTGCCTGGCCTGCTGTGTTCCTCCAGCTCCACACTGTGGTATCTGGTAACGAAGAGCTTCTCAAAGAGAGAAGATTTAAACAAAGTCTGAAAGACAGAGAGAAGTGGAGAGGTGGGGAAATGTAAGGAGGGAATTGCAGAGCATGTGGCACAGCCAGTAGGAAGGCTCATGAGTGAGTGAGTAAAACTCTGGATGTACGAAAATTCTGAGTGCAAGGAGTGCATTGTAACAATGGTCCTCTCTTTTGCCCACACCAGGTTGGTCCTGCAGGATCGCAATTTGGTTTGTTGGCCTGTCTCTTTGTAGAATTATTTCAGAGTTGGCCGATCCTGGAGAAACCATGGAAAGCCTTGATGAAGTTGATGGGAATTGTTCTTTTTCTTTTTACCTTTGGCTTGTTGCCTTGGATTGACAATATTGCCCATATATTTGGATTTATTAGTGGTTTCCTGCTATCTTTTGCCTTCTTGCCGTACATTACGTTTGGCCAAAGTGATAAATACAGGAAGATAATAATGATCATTGTCTCGCTTCTGGTCTTTATTGGACTTGCAGCATCTCTGGTGATCTGGTTCTACATTTATCCCACTAAGTGTCACTGGTGTGAATACCTCACCTGCATACCATTCACCAGCAACTTTTGTGAAAAGTATGACCTCGATCAAACCATAAGTGAACAATAATTTGGAGCATGCAGTTTTTGGATAAATGAACCATGAACTTACTGAAAAAGGCAGCTGGGTAATGGTAACAGAGTTAGTGTATGCAAATTGTACAGCCTATTGTTAGTAAGATTGAAAAGCTGAATAGTGTTGTTAGACTGGGCATTTGGAAAATGGAATGCAGTGCTTACTGTGTGATAGTTTGAAATGCTGAGAATATGACAATATCATCCGATTACTGCCTTAGTCAATTACTCTGCTCCACAACTATTCAACGCAATAACTCTGTTCTGAGTGTTGTTTATTGGTTTGCAAACATTGATTGTCTTCTCTTTACAAATCGAGAGGAAGAAACTAATGTAAATTGTGAAAAATCTGCATTTGCCTGTAACTTCCACATCTGGACAATATAATCTTTTTGATGAGTCATGAATTTGATTGAATGTTTGTTGGTGTAGTTGTAAAGGCAGATTCTGTTAAACCTACTAATTAGCAATGTCTTTGAGGGTTCTGTGTATGTTGAATTTTTTTTGCTGTTGATTTTATGTTTCTTGCTAGCTTACACTCATACTTCATTTTCACTTTCATTATGATTCCAGTTGATGTTACTACTGGGCCAGTCAGATCCCAGAATGAAATCTGCCTTGATAAATCAGTTTTCTAAATTTAACTTGGTGGTCATTCACTGATACAGAGGCACAGAAGATTGAAGATTTTTTTAACAATAAAATGAAGTTTATTACATAAAAAGGGAACATAAAATAAAACAAATCAAGCTAGCAAATATAAATCAGTGTAAAAGAACTGAAGATACATGGCAAAACAAAGTCTCACTATTCTCCAACACCATCATCTCATAGTGAGTCAAATCCACAAAAATCACCATTCCATACCAACCTTTAAGTTTGACTGTTTCTCCCTAGTTCTATTTTGTGAAATATGATGTGGAGGTGCCGCTGTTGGACTGGGGTGGATATGATCAGAAGTCACACGACACCAGGTTATGGTCCAACAGGTTTATTTGAAAACACAAGGTTTCGAAGTGCTTCTCCTTCGTCAGGTGAAGTGAGGGGACGTGCACAGGCACACAATTTATAGGTGGAGCGATCATTGCAAGATAATTCCAGGTAATTAAGAGTTTCAAAAGAGAGTACAAATGATATGAGTGGAGTGTAGCAGGCTGAATAACTGCTCTCTGCAGGTGATCAAAAGTGTCAGACGGTATGAGTAAAGTGTCAACAGCTGAAGAGCAAGTGAAGGGATGACCTATAATCTGATTAATTGAGGCAGAGAGATAATTACAAAAAAATTAAAAATAAGGTGGTACTGGAGACAAACCAGACAGCTGGAAGAACATGATAGGTCTAAGAGTCACATGCCAAGGGTCTAACCAAAGTCAGAAGTAATCCAAAACTGTGCAAACTAATTTAGGTAGAGAGATCATAACACATTATCAAGGTGATAGTGTTAAAACAGGACAGTAAGGATTTTCTAACCAAACACTCCTCACCGAGAAGTTTTACAAGTTAACTTTTATGCCAAGGGAACTGACCTTTCCTTGCAGTCTCCAATATCCTTTCTAGCAAGTAGTTAGGCTCTGGAATGCACTGGATATATGGTGGAGTTAGTTCAATTGAGGCATTAGGAGAGGCATTGGGTAATTATTTAGAAAGAAATAATGAATAAGGATATAGGAGAAAAGCAGGAATATTGGCAGTGGGTAATGAATGCTCATTTGAAGGCCTGGTACAGACATGATGGGCCAAATGCACTGGACTGTGCCTTCTGCACTGTAACATCTCTGTGACACACCTCTGGATGATGGAAATGAATGTACTATCGCCAAGTTTGCAGATGACACAAAAATAGATGGGAAGACAGTAGTGAGGATAACAAAGGATCTGTAGAAGGATACAAACAGGTTAAATAACTGCAGTTGCTGGGTTACCAGTCACTGCTGCTGGATCCTGCACATGCTGTCACGGTGGATCTGGGAAAGTGTCCCCAGATTCCACTGTCACACAAGAGGTGCATTCTACCAAGCTGAGCTGTGCTCTCATAACTTACTCTTAAATTGCTGTTTCTCTTCACTTCCTCAAGTTTAAAGAATATTAATTGTACATCAGTAACATTACCCTCTTTCTTATGCTTTACACACTTTTAATCTACAGACCAATTTCTACTTTAAATACCGGACAATGGAAATACCCGCACTGTCATGTTCACCAAGGTCACCTCTCTTCGAGCACTGACTCATGCTCCCACTCAATGAGTTTAGGTTTACCATAAAATATCCCTCTGGGATAGTTTAGAATCTCACCCCTCGGTGCAGCTTTTCAGCTCCTGGTCTCCATGAAGTTCTTTCCAATCAATGTCACACTTTAGATTCTACCAAATTTGAAAATATCTGCTGCTCTCTCACAAGATTGTAAACCAGCCTGAACTTGTGCTGTTTATATTATTCACGACATCTGTTTGCCTTTTACATATGTTACAAATTTTACCACCAATTGTATACTATATTAAAATCAAAAATTTTTAAAAAATGGCCTTAATCATTTAGCTGAGACTTACCCACTGAAAAGCTCACTCGTTTCCCTCTATTAGAGCAAGCATCAATTCCAATCCACTCCGACGAAACAAGCTCTGGCTCTAGCTCTCCCTCACAGGGTGCCCAACCCCTCCCCTCAGTGACACTGTCACAGGGTCCCCACCCCCTCCCCTCACT